TCTCCAAAGTTCGTTCCGCTATAATTCTCATCATCCCAATTGCATCCCTGGTTCCTTTTCCTCTTCTAAATCCAAACTGATCTTCTCCAAGTACATCCTCTATTTTCCTTTCAATTCTTCTTTTAAGTATCTTTGCTAGTATCTTTGCTGTATGTGCAATAAGACTTATTGTGCGATGGTCGCTGCATTTTGTAGCTTTTGTCTTTTTCTTTAAGGCAATCATTGTAACTTCTGTAAAGTCCTTGGGCCACTCTCCACTTTCATATATGGTGTTCATTAGTGCTACAATACACAAGAATAAATCACAGTGAAATAAACATTGTCTGGTCAGGTGTGACACTGATAACTGCAAAAGTTTCCAGTTAAAATTTAACGGACTTTATAACAGTCCTTAAAATAATTAGTTACTCATTACTAAAACAGACTTTAGATACAATAATGACATACCATCAAAGCTTCTTGGAATAATAATAATAATAATAATAATAATTCAGACTATGCTGGAAATCACAGACCACCACCACAACAACAACAATAATAGTAATAATAATAATAACAAAAAACAAACTCCGTGGTTTTAGTCCTCAAACGAACTATACCGACCGAGCGATCGTCGCTTGTCGGCGAAGTTAGTGCCAACTTTAGTCGACAGAGGGTGTCGCGTGGTCAGCGCAACGAATCCCCACCGCCGTTAATTTCGGTTTTCTAGACCGGAGCCTCTATTTCCTTGAAATAGGTCCTCAATTNCCAGAACAATTCGAAATGTAATTTCATACCTCTGTGTATCATCTTGGGTTGATGTACGGACTGTTGTTATGGCAGCCATTTTCTCACGGTGACTATATAATACCTCTTCTTCTTAATCCGATTGTGTGATTCGATTGTTCTGCTTGCTTGCTCTTTCTTGTCTTGTCACACTCTGTCAGTTATGAAAACACTTCGTTAGTTCTATCTCCCATATCTCTGTATATCTGTTCATAGCTATGGCCTTTTATTTGTTCCTAAAACTTTCACTAGTGCTTACTGTGGCCTAACTACGCTCTACTACACTTCATAATGCAAATGGGCACTTCACCTATAATGTCACACATGTGACAACTCCGGGCGTAATGAAATTGCATCCAAAAAAGCTATAACAAAGAAACAATTATGAACTCACTTCTCCAGAGCTAACTTTCAGTGAAATTCATAAACTGAAGGCAAAATGGAAAGGTCATCTGTACGTCTATCTGAATATTCGTCTAAAAAACTACCCCACGATTTATTATTAAATCCAATATTCAGAGTCTACACCAAAAATTGTCTGTTGACTTTAAAACTGATTCCTACCACAGGACAAATTGACTCAAGCGACAGCGCTTCAGACTTGCATTCGGGAGGTGCTCAGTTCAAATCCCGGAAGGGCCACATTCCAACCCGACTAAGGTCGATGGTTTTCTTCAGTCCCTTCAGAAAAATACAAAGACAGTACCTAAATATCAGTATTCATTAATAAGCCTGCTCCTTGACGTCATATAACCTGAATTGTTAACAATGACCTCTTGACCTCGGCACTAGATGGAGGTGACTGGTCAGCCTCACACCCCTACCGTTTTACCCCCCGGTACTCATTGGATAGGAGACTGTGATGGTGGTGGGGGGGGGGGCACAACCGGTCTGGATAACATGGAGAAGAGAAAATCTTGCACTGCCTCGAATCGAACACGGTCCGTCCAGCTCGTAATCCGCCGCTATACCGACTGAGGTATCCCGGCTCCTTAATAGTGTCGTTAAATAACTCTATACAGCAGAATTGTCTAATTGGCTGCAAGCGACTTCGTTATGTGCGGTTTGCGAGAACATCCATCCATTATCCAGAATACTCGTAACTTTTAGGGCTTTCCTCCACTTCAAAAAAGGCGGCCAATCATTTCGAAAAAGCTCGATGAATGGTGCTTATTAAATATTTCGTACAATTTTTCCGCTCATTTTACATGACATCTAATAACCTGAAGCATGCAACTGGTAAGTTTCCGCGATCACACGCAATGTAGGTACAACCCTTCAGCGTTTGATCTTCAAACACAGTCGAGTTGGGACCATTTCATTTAAATAAATGTTTATTTAATTTCGTGGGTAAAATTCTTGTCAGTATGCTTATGTTTCAGAAATCTCATCATCGCGGGAGATATATCACTGCAAGTATGTTTCAAAAAAATATGGGCCTATTTTTTACATGAAGGCCTGAGGTACAACAGTGGCTATTCAGTGGTTTAAAGTTAGAGAACAATACTCTAAAACTACGTGCCACCTTCTTCAGGGCAGGAACACATTACAGACGGAGGCAGCAGGTTCCACCAAAACGCTGGTAACTCCCCAACAAACTACGTGGAGCTATAAACCAGAAGACCACAATCATAATTTTCGCTGCCATCAGAAAATCAAATGTCTTACTTTATCCTTTGTCTTGTAACATCCTAATCTCTTTAATGTTTGTTATCACTCTGTGCCCGCCTAAGAACAGTACGAGATACAAAATAGTTTTCACGAATATCAACACCAAATTTCAGGAATGAAATCCATTGTGGCTGCTAAAATCTTGATAACTCTGGCAAGAAATATACCTCGGCAAACCAGTAAATGTATATAGCCAGTAGTGGGGGAACGGGACCGTCTCTGCGGTCTAGTGATCAGAGTTCCTGGCTACAGATTCAGAGGTCCCGGGTTCGATTTCCGGCGCTACCAGATTTTCTGAGAAGTAGTGGGTCCACTCTGCCTCATGAAAATAATTGAGGAGTATTTCAATGAAATAATGGCTCCGGTCTAGAAAACAGAGATTAACGGCGGTGGGGATTCGTTGCGCTGACCACGCGACACCCTTTATCCGCAAAAGTTGGCACTAATTTCGCCAACAAGCGGTGGTCGCTCGGTCGGTATAGTTCGCTTGCGGACTACAGGCCACGGATTTCGTTTTTTTTTTCTTTGCTGTGGAGGAACAAGAGTAAGCAGCATGCCCACGTAAAATAGAAAACTAATTTAGAACTCGACTGCCAAAAAACGCCGTCTCATATTTTCCCTGAATAATTATAAATGTGCACTTACGTAATAGTGACATGAATGCAAGAACAGGACACGATCCTGTGGTTTTACTAAAGCATTTATACACATTAGCATAACAACCCACCTCCTGTGACACGGTTTCTCTTCAATGAAAACATAAGAATTAAAAAAAAACTCCGTGGTTTTAGTCTGCCAGACTGACCTTACCGCCATCTGTGAGCCGAGTGTCTAGAGAAAATATGGGGGCCTCGACGTCTCAGAACCCTACGGGCCTGTTACCGGGATATCTTTACCTTTTACCCAACAGACATGAGCCATTCGCGGCATTGCTGTGCTAGCCCGCTCGGCACTGCATAAAACGAAGGATGTGATTACGGTCGTAAATGAAGTACCTAACCCCCACCTGAGATGACATCTGGATTCTTCCAATTCGTCTCTCTGTCGGCGCCATTATTCTCAGAAAAGTGCCCTCAGGTTGAACGGACGCACTGCAGTTCACCATACAGCACACAGAGCCTGCCTAATCTTAACTGATTGGACACTGTCCTTAACTCCTATATTTCTGTCATTCAATGACAAACTAGTAAGTCAAGTGGCTGGCCGCGCCATAGCTCAAGCGGTTAGTCGCTGGCTTCGCATCGCGGCGGCCCGGGTTCGATCCCGGGTCTGGTCAAGTGGGATTTGTAGTGGACAAAGCGGCGCTGGAGCGGGTTTTCTCCGAGTACTTCGGTTTCCCCTGCCAATCTTCAATCCATCAAATTCTCCATCATCATAATCCCCCAGGGCAGGTACAACAGGCCAATCAGTGGACGCCGTGCCGAGTGGACCCAGCTGGACTCCACCCCCCACTAAGCGAATTAAAAAAAGAATCAAGTGACTGGATATGGACTGAATGCCTGGAGTTCGATTCCCATCAGAGGCAAACATTTTTCTTTTCACCATCATGTCCAGCTCTGTTTTGGAGTCCATCTTATCTCATATCGAATAGGTACCGGGGTTCCTTCCCTACAGAAAATGCGTTGAGTATAACACTCGGGATTAACGGGTTTCTGGACTTTGCCCATCGTCCCGTATTCTAAATACCACAACATTTCGGAAAATGGATCTGTTTCCTTCCTAAAGTAAGTGGGTGGAAGAAACATAATCGGTTGCGTCTGTTACAAAAAGCTAATCCTAATCACTGTATATAGAAGTGTGCTTTACTGACATAGGCTGCCCAGTGATTGAGATTAGAGCTTCTTAACGCTATACCGGCTCCAGAAGATAACAGGACGGGCTCAAAATCCTATAATCCGTTCGCTGTGTGAAGTCGAAATTATATGATCGCCATCCATCATACTATCATCGGTTTTGTTAATGTTATCGTAAGACTCCTAAGTGAATAAACACTTTATTAAACTCTAGCGTTTCTGAAGCTGGATGTGTCTGCCAGAAAGGAAAGGATCCCACTTTTTTAATTAATTTTTTAATTCGCTTGTTGGGGGGGGGGGGAGTCCAACTGGTTCCACTCGGCACGGCGGCCACTGATTGGCGTATTGTAGCCTGCCCCGGTTGATTATGATGGAGAATTTGGTGGAATGAAGATTGGCAGGGGAAACCGAAGTACTCGGAGAAAACCCGCCCCAGCGCCACTTTGTCCACCACAAATCCCACTTGACCAGACCGGGGTCGAACCCGGACCGCCGCGGTGGGAAGCCAGCGACTAACCGCTTGAGCTATGGCGCGACCTAGGATCCCACTTACTTGGCCCAGCTGTGTAGGCACTTCTCTCACCTGATGACGGCAACGGTTACACTCAAATCGAACCAAGTCGATTTTCTCAAAAACAATTCATCGTCCGAAGAACAGAACACTTCGCAAAGTCTCATTAAATTCTACATTTCTATTTGAAAGCAATTTCGGTAAGAAATTTGACTAAATAAAACGGGAAATAATATTCCTGTGTAGTTTAATAACAGCTGTATTGTTAGCTTTACAATAAAGGGCTTTCACCTGCAATAATAGGAGCCCGGATAGCGTAGTCGGTACAGAGACTGGCTACGGGCTCGACGACCGATGGATCGGAGTTCCTGGTAGGGGCAATAATTTTTTCTTCTCCGTATCGTCCAGACCGGCTCTGGGGTCCACCCAACCTCCTATCCAAGGGGAACCGGGTGTAAAGGGGCAGGGGCCTGAAGCTGACCACTCACATCCAACTAATGGGGAGATCAAGAAAATGTGGATTTACACAGCCACTCTCCCACACGCCCTCATGGCGTACTGCTTAATTAGTTAAGCACAGGGAAAACTGTACCTATTTTTACCTGTAATATTACACGGATAGTAAGTACATGTCCTTACGCAGTAGCCAGCCAAATGCTGAGTCAGGGATGAAGGCCCAGACTTAGGACTGTGGCTGTAATGTGTTATCTGGTCAGGATTATAGCATAACTCAGCGGGTAGTGACTGATGAATAGATGATTAGGAGAGGAATCCCGAAAAAAATCTCGGAAAAACTACTCCAGTTCCACTTAGTCCATCACGAATCTCACTTGCAATCACCTAGGTATGAACTCAGGTCTCCGTCAGCAACAAATCACATAAGCTATGGCATGATACGCTCTATTAATATTAAGTTAATGATAATAAACTAATACCAAGTTGTGAAATCGCAAAGGCATTTTTAAAAATATAAAAACACTCATTGGTTTTGGTATGCAAGCGAACTACACCGAGCGAGCGACCGCCGCTTGTTGGCGAAGTGTCACCTTTAGCGGATAGAGGATGTCGCATGGTCAGCGCAACATATACCCACGGTCGCTAATTTCGGTTTTCTAGTCCAGACCCGCTATTTCCTTGAAATAGCTCCTCAATTATCCTCACGAGGCTCAGTGAACCCCG